TCAACTGGTGTACAGATTACCTTATTTCCATTTTCAACATTTAAGTAAATGGAGTAATATAAAAATAAATGAAAATAAAAGGACAAAGACATTTACTTAAGTTGACAATGTAAATAAGGAAGTACCCCCCATTTGGATTCAAATAAAAATATTAGAAAATCAAATTCCAGCCAAATCAAAATATGAAAAATCAGTTTTAGTGCAGAATACGATTTAGGCTAAAAATAATGGCTCATTAAGTCAATATATACTTCATACTAAAATCCTATAAAATCAAGAGCCGCCAAAAATTATCTTGAGAAAATGATTATTCCGAAAAACCTTTTTTTTTTTTTTTTGGTTAAAAAAAACCATTTTTCATACTTAGTCAATATTGCACATCCGCTAAAAAATTTCTGGGTCCGCCAATGGCCCAAGGCATCTCTAATTTTTCAAAGAAAAAACTCTTATTTGGAACAAGTTTATTCTTTCCCCAAATTCTATAAATTGAGTCCATTAGGGATTTGATTTGATATCTCCAAATTGGGATAATATTTAAATTGGTGATATTATCTCATTAAATAAAGATAATATCTCATTTTTATTCCTATTTATTTGGCTCAATTAATTAACCTATGAGATATTCTTCTTGTCCGCGTGACATCTTGTGATTGAAGACGAAATATTTGCTCCCACACAATTCTCACTCAACTGAATTTGATTTCTGTTTGCAGGTCTGGGAAGCTGCAGCTCATTGTATTGCTGTTCATTCTGTTTGAAGCAGTCATGGAATGGGCAGCTGGCACCAAATGCAAGGGTTCTTTTACTTTCCTGGAAGCATCTCCTTCAAGCCATAACCAAGTCCCCCCATGGTACTATAATAGGCTTGGTTTTGTTCCACGGTCGCTATCATTATAGAAGTGGCGCTATACGGAAGCTTCTGCAACATGGCTACTGGAGTCTCAGTTTAATATTGTTGATGCCAAAAACTGGTTCACAAGCTTTAAGGGTCAACTTAGTAATTTTGTAATTTTATACCCTCGGTATCCCTAGATCTTCGGTAGGGACCGCGATCTGCAAAATGAGAAAACGCTATGTAAGACCCAAGGCACCGGTGTGGTACCTGCAGAAGGCTCTCTGATGCTTAAGTAAGTTCGGGATTAGAAAGTTCAACTGACAAATCAATAGGCTTGTATGCCGTAAGTTCTGATTACCTCTGTTTTGGGGTAGTTGGCCTCTTTTATAGGCCTTGGGAGGTGTGCACTTTGTTGGTAATTTCAATGTGGGACTGTGGACGTCGCTTGGGAGCATGCCACGTGTCCCAGAAGAGTGTGTTGACCTAATGGAGCGATCGGTAGGTAGGGTGCCGAGGGCGTCCCTGACCAGACTCGATTTCCTCCACGTGTCTCGTTCTCATTGGCTGTTCATTTTGGGTATAAATCTGCTTCGTTATTGGACGTTCGGAAGCTAAATCGGATGGCATATTCCATCTCGGTTCCATCGGGAGCGGTGAGTACCAAGCCAGCTCCGCACCCTTGTTGGTTTGCCGAGCAGTCTACGTGCAGGACCCAGACAGGAATTGACTGGTCGAAATGGCTACCGTTCGGCAGGCTTATCAGTGGAGGGGTGTTCCCAGGTTTCGATGCTTCCGAAGGTGTTAGTTCGGAGATGAAGTCTACTACGGCCTGTCCTTTCTCGGCAGGTCTGGGTTTGAACTGTACATCGAACTCTCCCAGCTCAATCGCCCATTTTACCAGCCTACCAGACGTTTCAGGCTTTTGAAATACATGTCGAAGGGGGTGGTTGGTTAGGACGGTGATGGTATGGGCCTGAAAATAGGGCCGCAACCTTCGGGCAGAAACGACCAGAGCTAAAGCCAGCTGCTCGAGTGGGGGGTACCGAGATTCTGCCGCCTTCTCCGGTGTTCGTATCAGTACTGAGCTGACGGTGGTGGTGGATACCGATAGGTATAGAGAGAGAGTTTCCCCAGGAAGGGGTTTAGACAGTAGCGGCGCTCTGCCCATATAGTCCTTCAAGTCTTGAAACTTCTTATCGCATTCGGCAGTCCACTCTATATGGTGTTTGCCCTCTTTCAAGGCTTTGAAGAACGGTGCACACTTGTCCGTGGCTTTGGAGATGAAGCGAGTGAGGGTTGCCACTCGTCCGGTGAGGCTCTGGATGTCCTTTTGTGTCTTCAGCACCTCCATGTTGATTATGGCTTTGATTTTGTCGGGGTTTGCTTCGATACCTCTCTGGCTGATCATAAAATCGAGGAATCTCCCAGAAGAGACACCGAAGACGCACTTTGTTGGGTTGAGTCTCATTCGGTAGGCCTTCAAGATGCCGAACATGAGGGATAGATTCTCCAGATGTTCCCCTGCCGTTCGGCTCTTTACCAGCATGTCGTCTACATACACCTCCATCGTGCTGCCGATCTGCTCAGCAAAGATTCGGTTGACCAGCCTCTGGTAGGTTGCCCCAGCATTCTTCAGGCCGAACAGCATGACGTTATAACAGTATAGCCCCTTATCCGTTATGAATGCCGTATGCCCGCTGTCAGCAGGGTGCATGAAGATCTGGTTGTATCCAGAGTATGCATCCATGAAGCTGAGCAGTTCGTGACCGGCAGTGGCGTCAACCAACTGATCGATGCGTGGCAACGAGAAGCTGTCCTTCGGACAGGCTTTGTTCAGATCGGTATAGTCTTGGCACATTCGCCATCCGCCTTTTGGCTTCCGAACCATGACAAAGTTTGCCAGCCAGTCCGGGTATATAGCCTCCCGGATGAAGCCTATGGTCATGAGTTTGTCTACTTCGTTCTTCATAGCTTCATACCGTTCGGCATCGTAGGATCGGCGCTTTTTCCTGACATGCTTGAACACCGGTGAGATGCTCAGCTTGTGGTTGATGACATCAGGGGATATGCCCGGCATGTCATTGTAGGACCAGGCAAAGACTTCCGAATTCTGCCGAAGGAACTGGATGAATTCGGCTCTGAGGGTAGCGTTTAACAAGGTACCGATCCATACGCACCGGTCCGGCTGACCTTCGTATAGTGCCACGGTTTCGAGATCCTCGGCAGGTTGTGCCACCGGAGTAGGCGTCTCTTCCCTTGGATCATCCACTGGGTCGTTGCTGTTCGGCAAGTCCACGACCGTGAAGGTCTCTTTTTGCTTTTGAGGCGCCGTTGATTTTAATGCCGTGGCATAGCAGTTCCGAGCGCTCAACTGGTCACCCCTGATTGCCCCCATGCCGTAGCAGGTTGGGAACTTCATGCGTAGCATGTGGGGGGACAAGTGGGCATTTATTGTCGTGAGCGCCGTTCGGCCGACAATGACGTTGTAGGCCGTCGGACAGTCCACTACAAGGAATTGGTCGTAGACCATGGTCCTTCGTGGGGCTATGCCGAAGGTGATCGGCAAGCTGACACTGCCGATTGGCTGGACCAAGTCTCCTGAAAAGCTGAGGAGGGGCGAGAGTTGCCGGTTGACCTGGCTGTCATCTATTCCGAGTTCCTTAAACGCATCGGCGAAGATGACGTTTACCGAACTTCCAGTGTCGATCAGGATTCGGCCAACATCGAACGCGGCAATCTCGGCTCGGATGATCATGGGGTCGTCATGTGGGTAGATGATCCCCTCTTCTTCTTCTTCGGAGAAGGTGATGGGTTCCCACCGGACCTTCAGCATCTTAGCGTGCCGGCTGCCTTCAATGCCGAGGACCTGAGGGTATTGTGCCACTCTGACATACTGCTTTCTTGACCGGTTAGACCCTCCGGCGAGGGTTGGCCCTCCGCTGATCATGCTGATCATATTGATTTGCCGATTGGCGTTCGGTACTGGCGCCTGTTGTGGCCTGGCTATGTACTGATCCAATTTGCCTTCCCGAATGAGCCGTTCGACAATTTTTCGTAAGCTTATGCAGTCCTCGGTATTGTGGCTGTTCTGCTGGTGGTATCGGTAGAATTTTCCCGTGTCCCGGCCGTCTTGCCGATTAGGCTTCCGAAAAGTTGGCTTCGGGATGATCTCGTTTTCGTTCAACAGCACCGCTTCATAGGAGGTGTTGAGCAGAGTGAACACCTCCGTTCCTTGGTTATGAGCCGGTAGTGGCACTCTGTAGCTGTCCCTGCCGTACCTGCTCTTGTTTTTCTTAGAATGCCCTTTTGGGAGCTTCCGGCGTCTTTGCGCTTGTGGTTCTCAGGATAGCCGGCAGATTGTCTTGTTGGCGCGAACGGCGAAGCCTGTGCCGTTGCGGATCGCTGTATGGGTTCGCTCTGCCGAGCCGTGGGCTCGGCCCTCGAATTGAAGTATTCGGCTTTGGCGTGGATTGCCGCTTGCTTCATCAGTTCATCTACGTACGCCAACTGCTGCTGTGTACCAGATACCGAAAGTGTGAGGACCGTAGGCCACTCTTGAAGGCGCCGTAGGCTGCCCTATCATCGGTATCCGGACATCTCGAGTATTCATGGCTGAATCGTGCGGCATATTCACGCAACGGCTCGTCGTCTCTCTGCCGGATGGTATATAGGTCGTCGGCAGAGTACAGTCTGTCTGTTTGAATCATAAAATGATTCAGGAAGATCTGCTTCAGCTCATTGTTCGGTTCATTTTTACACATGATTTTTCATGTTATTCACCTATTATTTTGAGTTAGTTCTTGACATTTTATCGCTTTTTACTTCCTTTTTGTGTTTTCTTATATTTTACCTTGGTTAGAATGAAAATGAGCTAAAAATGCATTATTGGTTATAAATTCTGTTTTTGTTCATTTTCGTAGGTCAACTTCTTGGCCTGGGATCAACATGCTCTGGTGCTCGGATGGGGTGAAGATCTTCACGAAACTTGTTCCAATGGATGTTAACTACAACATATCCAAATTTGAGCTTCATTGGACAAGTATTGCCTATCCAACCAATCCAGCATGTTACCACAGCTCTGGAAATCCGAAGTGCTCCAGCTTTTACCTCCATATTGTTATCTTGATTCTTCTTGTTACCATAACACTTGGTAACAAGAAATTACCTTGGTTAAGAGATATTTTCAGAGGCAAAGAGCATATTTTCAATGACAAAGCTTCATCATGGCAAGGGGACAAAGTTTGAAGCTTTAACAAAAGGTGGAGTTTTATATATTAAAAGTGAGCTGGAAATCATGGGCTAAAGGAAGATGAATGTGCAATCTGCAAAGCTGATGACAATTCCTTCATTCTACAATATAGAACGTGGGGGATTAAATTCATTCATTTTATTCTACACATTGAGAGCAGATTTTGGAGAGCTGGGAGCTAGGAGAAAGCCAAGGGCAGCCAAGCAAAGTGGAGAAGAAAGCTTCCACCATTGATGACCTTGAAGCTTTCATCATTTTCTCAAAATCTGTAAACTCTTTCTAGTTATATTTCGAATTTGTGTTTGAAATGATTATGAGGAACTAAACTCCATAGCTAGGGCTTAGGTTGAAGCCCTAAACATGATTACCTTATTGTTTTGATGCTTGAGTGTATGAATTTCTAGATATTGTTGATGAATTCCAATTCACCAAATTAATCTATCCTTGATGTATGTTCTTCTTTGATTGATCACCTTTGAAAGCATGCTTCTTGAGATTGTTGGGATTATGTGTATCTTCATGTTTTCGCGTTGTGTTCTTGCATTTTCTTCGCTGAATCCAACCGTATAAAGAATGTGAATTTTGGATAAACGGTTGGAAAGTTATAGGCAAAACACTGGACAGAGGTCGA